GCCTGGCTTTGAACCAATGAACTTCTGACTATGAAGCAGCAATTCTAACCATTACTCTACGGCTCTTCTGCATTGACAGCTCTCAGTATATTAATACCTAAAGACGTTAAAGTGAGATATGAAGACATCATAGTATAGTAAGGCATAAAGAGTCATAAATACAACATAATATAGTAAGGCATGAAAATGTCACAGTATAGTAAGGCATAAAAATGTCAAAAAACATCATAGTATAGGAAGGCATAAAAATGTCAAAAAACATCATAGTATAGGAAGGCATAAAAATGTCAAAAAACATCATAGTATAGGAAGGCATAAAAATGTCAAAAAACATCATAGTATAGGAAGGCATAAAAATGTCAAAAAACATCATAGTATAGGAAGGCATAAAAATGTCAAAAAACATCATAGTATAGGAAGGCATAAAAATGTCAAAAAACATCATAGTATAGGAAGGCATAAAAATGTCAAAAAACATCATAGTATAGGAAGGCATAAAAATGTCAAAAAACATCATAGTATAGGAAGGCATAAAAATGTCAAAAAACATCATAGTATAGGAAGGCATAAAAATGTCAAAAAACATCATAGTATAGGAAGGCATAAAAATGTCAAAAAACATCATAGTATAGGAAGGCATAAAAATGTCAAAAAACATCATAGTATAGTAAAGCATGAAAACTCATTAAATGAAATAGTATAGTAAGGCATAAAAAGTCATAAATACGACATAATATAGTAAGGCATGAAAATAGTATAGTAACATATGGAAAGTCATGAAAATGTCATAGTATAGTAACGCAAAAAAAGTTATAAAAACGACATTAGAGTAAGGCATGATTATGAAAAAGTTTAATAAGGCATGTAAATTGCAAGGCATGACATTTGTTTTTATTCTGATGCGGATTTGTTTTAACTGTGTGAGGAGGCAAGAGCCTGGCTTTGAACCACCGACCTTCTGACCATGAGACAACACTTCTAACCATTACTCCATGGCTCTTCTCCATGGACAAAAATGCCATAGTATAGTAAGGCATGAAAACGTCATAGTATAGTAAGGCATAAAAACATCACAGTATAGTAAGGCATAAAAATGGCAAAAAATGCATTAGTATAGTAAGGCATGAAAACGTCATAGTATAGTAAGGCATAAAAACATCACAGTATAGTAAGGCATAAAAATGGCAAAAAATGCATTAGTATAGTAAGGCATGAAAACGTCATAGTATAGTAAGGCATAAAAACATCACAGTATAGTAAGGCATAAAAATGGCAAAAAATGCATTAGTATAGTAAGGCATGAAAACGTCATAGTATAGTAAGGCATAAAAACATCACAGTATAGTAAGGCATAAAAATGGCAAAAAATGCATTAGTATAGTAAGGCATGAAAACGTCATAGTATAGTAAGGCATAAAAACATCACAGTATAGTAAGGCATAAAAATGGCAAAAAATGCATTAGTATAGTAAGGCATGAAAACGTCATAGTATAGTAAGGCATAAAAACATCACAGTATAGTAAGGCATAAAAATGGCAAAAAATGCATTAGTATAGTAAGGCATGAAAACGTCATAGTATAGTAAGGCATAAAAACATCACAGTATAGTAAGGCATAAAAATGGCAAAAAATGCATTAGTATAGTAAGGCATGAAAACGTCATAGTATAGTAAGGCATAAAAACATCACAGTATAGTAAGGCATAAAAATGGCAAAAAATGCATTAGTATAGTAAGGCATGAAAACGTCATAGTATAGTAAGGCATAAAAACATCACAGTATAGTAAGGCATAAAAATGGCAAAAAATGCATTAGTATAGTAAGGCATGAAAACGTCATAGTATAGTAAGGCATAAAAACATCACAGTATAGTAAGGCATAAAAATGGCAAAAAATGCATTAGTATAGTAAGGCATGAAAACGTCATAGTATAGTAAGGCATAAAAACATCACAGTATAGTAAGGCATAAAAATGGCAAAAAATGCATTAGTATAGTAAGGCATGAAAACGTCATAGTATAGTAAGGCATAAAAACATCACAGTATAGTAAGGCATAAAAATGGCAAAAAATGCATTAGTATAGTAAGGCATGAAAACGTCATAGTATAGTAAGGCATAAAAACATCACAGTATAGTAAGGCATAAAAATGGCAAAAAATGCATTAGTATAGTAAGGCATGAAAACGTCATAGTATAGTAAGGCATAAAAACATCACAGTATAGTAAGGCATAAAAATGGCAAAAAATGCATTAGTATAGTAAGGCATGAAAACGTCATAGTATAGTAAGGCATAAAAACATCACAGTATAGTAAGGCATAAAAATGGCAAAAAATGCATTAGTATAGTAAGGCATGAAAACGTCATAGTATAGTAAGGCATAAAAACATCACAGTATAGTAAGGCATAAAAATGGCAAAAAATGCATTAGTATAGTAAGGCATGAAAACGTCATAGTATAGTAAGGCATAAAAACATCACAGTATAGTAAGGCATAAAAATGGCAAAAAATGCATTAGTATAGTAAGGCATGAAAACGTCATAGTATAGTAAGGCATAAAAACATCACAGTATAGTAAGGCATAAAAATGGCAAAAAATGCATTAGTATAGTAAGGCATGAAAACGTCATAGTATAGTAAGGCATAAAAACATCACAGTATAGTAAGGCATAAAAATGGCAAAAAATGCATTAGTATAGTAAGGCATGAAAACGTCATAGTATAGTAAGGCATAAAAACATCACAGTATAGTAAGGCATAAAAATGGCAAAAAATGCATTAGTATAGTAAGGCATGAAAACGTCATAGTATAGTAAGGCATAAAAACATCACAGTATAGTAAGGCATAAAAATGGCAAAAAATGCATTAGTATAGTAAGGCATGAAAACGTCATAGTATAGTAAGGCATAAAAACGTCACAGTATAGTAAGAAATAAACATTTCAAAAAATGCCATAGTATAGTAAGGCATAAAAACGTCACAGTATAGTAAGGCATAAACATTTCAAAAAATACCATAGTATAGTAAGGCATGTAAAACATCAAAAAACATCATAATATAGTAAGGTATGAAAACGTCACAGTATAGTAAGGCATAAAAATGTCAAAAAATGCCACAGTATAGTAAGGCATGAAAACGTCATAGTATAGTAAGGTGTAAAAATGTGAAAAAACATCATAGTATAGTAAGGCATAAAAATGTCAAAAAATGCCATAGTATAGTAAGGTATGAAAACATCATAGTATAGTAAGGCATAAAAACATCACAGTATAGTAAGGCATAAAAATTTCAAAAAACCTCACAGTATATTGAGGCATGAAAATGTCAAAAAACATCATAGTATAGTAAGGCATGAAAACATCACAGTATAGTAAGGCATAAACATTTCAAAAAATACCATAGTATAGTAAGGCATAAAAATTTGAAAAAATGCTATATTATAGTAAGGCATAAAAATGTCAAAAAACATCATAGTATAGTAAGGCATAAACATTTCAAAAAATACTATAGTATAGTAAGGCATAAACATTTCAAAAAATACTATAGTATAGTAAGGCATAAACATTTCAAAAAATACTATAGTATAGTAAGGCATAAACATTTCAAAAAATACTATAGTATAGTAAGGCATAAACATTTCAAAAAATACTATAGTATAGTAAGGCATAAACATTTCAAAAAATACTATAGTATAGTAAGGCATAAACATTTCAAAAAATACTATAGTATAGTAAGGCATGAAAACGTCATAGTATAGTAAGGTATAAAAATGTAAAAAAAAAATCATAGTATAGTAAGGCATAAAAATGTCAAAAATGCAATACTATAGTAAGGCATGAAAAAGTCATAGTATAGTAAGGTATAAAAATGTCAAAAAATGCCATAGTATAGTAAGGCATGAAACCGTCACAGTATAGTAAGGCATAAGAATTTCAAAAAATGCCATAGTATATAGTAAGGCATAAAAATGTCAAAAAATGCAATACTATAGTAAGGCATGAAAAAGTCGTAGTATAGTAAGGTATAAAAATGTCAAAAAACGTCATAGTATAGTAAGGCATAAAAATGACATAGTATAGTAAGGCATAAAAATGACAGAATAGTAAGGCATAAAAAGGCATAAAATCACATAGTAAAAGGTATAAAAACTAGTCATAGTATTCATGGTGACCTCTTCAAGGGATTTCTTGACAGAAATTCAACTCATTCTTTGATATATCCACCATTTTATTTTTACTCCTGATTCCAACCTAACTGCCTACCAAAGACAGAGGCCAAGGTCAGCTTGCCAGTTTACACTAGCTGACATGGTTAAACAACATCAGCTGACATTTTTCTGGTGACGTTTGGTACCACTGTGATATTTTCACATGACGTGAACCTGCAGATAGTCCACGTCCTTTCAGTCAATCAAATGGTAGCATGCCTAAATCGGTTGTCTTGGAGGCGTAGCCTCTTGGAGGGCCCATTGGAATGATCTCCTATGACTTCCCTCCAAACATAGTGTGAAGGAGTTCACTCAAATATTGGTAGGGACAATTCTATCCTTCCAAAATAACCGTAGGGACATGTTCCTAAATACAAAAAATGAAAAAAACACTAGTTCATACTTTTTAACTGTTCACAACAGATTGTTTAAAGTGTGTACCATCAGTTTAAACTGACAAAACAGCTACATATACGCTGATAAATTCCTGAATTTTCTTTTGAAAAGGTGAAACCAAATATAAGGCTCTAATAACAAATAAATAAAAATGAATCAATAAGTTAACTCTCTGAAAAGAAAAACTCTGCTTTTTCATTTCAGTACTTTTGACATGTGCACTATGTATGTACTTGTAATACTTGCTTCCTTTTACTTAAATTAATCATAGTAATGTAGAGTATTTCTATTTTTGACTAAGTAAGGGATCTGAATATATTCTCCCACTGCCTGCTTGAAATGTGTGTGCATGTGTGAGTGTGAACTCTGACCCTGACTCTCTCTGTGTCTGCAGAGCAGCCTCGGTCGGGGCTCCTCCAGGCCTCCATCATCAGCTGTTACGTCATGTACCTCACCTTCTCCGCTCTGTCCAGCCGCCCACCAGAGAAAGGTAATGCTCACTAACCAGACAGAGCAGAGGCTCCATAGAGACACTTAGCAATGTGTCTCTGTCCTGTGTTCACACTGACACCAAAACCTTCAACATGAATACAAACACGTTTGAGGATTTATTCAAGGTTATACTCTATATTTTGATTAAAAATGAAACATATGGTACAGGACGTGAAAGGAAGAAGCTCCCAATCCTCTTTGTGCTGAAATGTTGTTGATAATAACACATTTTTGATTAGAACGGAAATGGACACTGTGAGTTTTTTCTTTAAAGGTGCAGTAATCAATAACCTTTAATGAACAATGAGTCTTGACTATGTGTAATGTGAAAATTGTCGCTCATAAGGACAAACACACAGGGAATTATAACCCAACTCCGCTCTTCCCCTCAGCCTTACAGACCATTTTAGCATCTCTCAGCCTAGTTGTTTTGGTTTACAACCCACAACTTTAATGCGTCATGTCCAGTTTCTTTCAGCAGCTCTTAAAAACCCGCTGCACACTACCTGCTCAGCACCACACAACAGACAGACACAGTCAGCGACTAGCTGGTGAGCACAGTGGAGCACTTGGCAGCTAAAGGGACAAATGTTTTTCTGTTCAGCTGATGGAAACCATGAGAGAGCTGAAAGGAGAGTGAATATGGGACGCGTGTTGCTCAGTTTCTGTCTAAATAGTCAACTTTATGCTAACAAGTTCACCAAGACAATTTATTAGTGATGATAGGTCAACATTGCCCCCAAGTGGCCAAAACATTTAATGTAGATTTAATTTAATCTCATTTACTTATATGTATATATATATATATTAATATTATATTATATTATATTATGTAGTTATTGCTATGTTGGCAAAGCTTAGTCGACGTGTTCATAGATGTGTGTATAGCAGCATTTTTTTTGCAGCAAAAGCAAAAATTAAGAAGAAATTACAGAGAAATTTTAATTTTTTCATATGTCTGCAGACAGTGTTTCCCTGCCAAGCTGCAGCTGAGATTTATTAACACAAAAAACTAATTTCACTAGCCTATAATTTAATAGTAAAAATAAAAAAATTTTAAAAACTTTTTTATAGACAACACTTACATATTGGAGGAATGATTACAAATGACTTTCAGTTTGTTCATATGGACATGAGGATACTATATTAGACTTGAAAAAATCTGATTTTAGCCTTTATTTTCATCACTGGATGAAATCCTCTTATTGTGGAATGTATCAAAATTGTTTGGTTGAACCTCATCATCCTGTACGACGTAGACTTAATACTGAAGAGCCCCCTCCCCTCCACACGCACACACCCACTCACTCATACTCTTACGGTAAAATCCTCCATAATTTGCCTTTACTCTTCTCATAATGACTCACCTGTTGGCTCCAGGTAAGACAAAGAGCCTCCACATGACTGAGACATTAGTGCAATGGCTTGTCAGAGGCCCATGTCTTATCTGGGGTTTGCATCTAAATGGAACACACGCAAATAATATACATGTATACACACACACATCCACACACCCCCACACACACAGATAATCTGGGATGAGATGTGCTCTGACATGCTGCCTGCTGGGCTGGTGGCCTGTGGTGAGGGCAGACTGAAGGATATTTGTTTCACATTCCTCATGGATCCATTGACAACATAATAACAGAGGAACACAGCCAGGCAGCGTCACTACATATGTTCTCACACAGCTCGTCCGGTGAACAGATAAAGTGCAATGTATTGTTCAGATCTGCCAGGAAATATTGTTTGAGTGTAGTGTAATATCTGTCAAGTGTAACCATTTAAGATGCCCCACATATCTTATTTTTCGCTCTATACTTCCATTCCTGGTCAAACATTGTGCAGATGAACAGACATTTCCAGCTGCTATGATGCCAGACATTTTCTTTCAGAGATGGAAAACAGTAACAGTAACTGACTCATCTGGTGTTTCTACTCGAGGGAGGGCTACTCTCAATAGCTGTAATTTAGCATGAATATTCAACAAGTGTACAGGGAGAAATTCAGCAGAGAACAGACTAAACAGGTCTCTGTTTAGTTTCAGAGGATACAAGAACATAATACAGGCACAGCACAGGCTGATGAGGGAATTTGTTTTTGTGGCCAAGATCAAACTAGCTTGTTATTTTGCATATTGATGATCCAGCATAGCGGCAAATTACTACATTGAGTAAGTGAAACTACATTGAGATGATTTTTGGTTCTTAAAACCACAAATATATCTTCTTATGGATCAACACTTTAAATAAAACTCAAACTTTGCCATAACACAGCGTCATCCAACAAGACGCTGTGCTGGACGACCGTGTCCACCTCCACCAGCGCAGCCTCCTGTGCTTTTTTAACACACGGCTGTTTTTGGGCTGAATGCCCACTAAGGATGCCCGTCCTTTGTGAGGTTGCAGACTTCTCAGAGCCTCCTTACAGGGTTGTGGGGAGGTGGTTAACTGATACTCCAAACATAGATTTTGTGGTGGTAGATTAATAATGACCATTATTTTAAGGTATTTAACTCAGTTACGTCTCACGATTTCCTTTGTATTCAACATGCTGGTATTCACAGAGGCATAGGCGTGTGTGTGTGTGTGTGTGCATGTGTGTGTATACAGTATGAGTGTGTACAGTAGGTGTATGTGAGAGTCCTGGGGCAGTGCAGGACATTGTAGCAACTTGTTGGGAAAATATGCACTGTGAGTCTGCTATGCACTGAAACAACATTTCAACGTACACTCTGAACCGAAACACACACACACACATAAATAAGCAACAGGAGGTGGAAATGAAATATTATAAAGCAGTAGAGTGTGTAAAGTTGAGTGTGTGTGAGTGTGTGTGTGTCTACTTGTGTGTGCGCATTAGACAAAGAGATCCATCCTCGTTACTGTCTTCTTCAGTCTTTGTTTGCCTAGTCTGTCCCCGGAAGGCTTAGTCTGTTCTATGACCTCACTATGAATGACACACACACACACACACACACACACACACACACACACACACACACACACACACACACACACACACACACATAAACACACCTTAGGAAGGAAAGAATTAGTCTAAAGTGCAACTGAAAAGACACAACTCAAAGAGCAGGCCATGTTCTTTCTCCCCTCATGACTCTTGACCTGAAGTGTGTGTTTGTCTGTGTGTGTGTGTGTGTGTGTGTGATATAGTCTGAGCCCTGTAATTAGCCATTGTTTTCACTGAGCTCAGGTTCTTCTCTCCCTCACAACACACAAACACAAAACTTTTCTCAGGAATTCACAGCCAGCCGAAACAACCCTCTGGAGGTTGGGCTGGATTTCTGTGTGTATTCAAGTGTGTGTGTGTGTGTGTCTGTGTGTTTGGAAGTTCGACCTTGTGCACATGCATGTGCATGTGTGAGCATACAGTACATATTTGTGAGTGCTCTGTTTTTGCCCCAGAGTGTCCAGAGGGTGAGTCTATAGGAGAGTCCCAGAAGGGAAAGTGCAGCCGAAGCCTCTTTTACAAGAAAGAAAGGAATTTCCTAAGAAACAAAGAAGAAAGAACAAATTTGCAAATTAAGAAAGTAACACAACAACTTGAATTGTATGTGGCATCTTTTCTCTGTGGTGCTGGCACAGGAAGTGCTGGATTTACTAGTTGTTATGGACTTACTTACACCAAAATTTACAGTTTATATGTTTCTCATGAGTAAAAACAGTGATGCAGTTTCTGGTACACAGTAATATGGACTGTGTATCTATTTGTTTTGTCTCAGTGCTGATTAAAACTACCTCTAATTATTCAATGCAGAAAGAGATTTGACACAAACCAGTGACAAACTGATAGAAAACCACAGGACACAGTTTCCTTGTATCACTGAACCTATCGTGCTGTGTTCTTCTCTGTGTCAGTGGTGTACCAGGGCATGAACATGACCGTCTGTTACCCCAGTGTGGGACAAGATGGCATCCAGAATGAAGGCAATGCTGTCGCCATCATTGGAGCGGCCATCATGTACTGCTGTGTGCTCTTTGCATGGTGAGTAATGTGCAAACAAATACCATATAAAACATGAGCTGTGTATAAGACTGACCCCTGAATGTCTGACCAGGACAAATGTGTTCAAATCTAATTTGCCTGCAGTAATGAAGCCTCCTACCTGGCAGAGGTGTTCGGTCCATTTTGGATGATCAAAGTTTACCGCTATGAGTTCCAGAAAGCAACTTGCTGCTTCTGCTGCCCCGAGGAAGAGGAAGGTTTGAACAGTTTACATTTCATTATTGTCATATTAAGAGTACTTTGTATTGTGTTTTTATATCAATAAAGTTTCTGGTTTCCAACTTTTATTTCCATTGCTGTCATCTACAAATTTACTAGGTCACTGCTTCCAGTAATTAGGTCCAGAAAATTATAATTTTAGGCAAACACAAAATCATCAACAATAGAAGTGGACTATGAGCGAGCAAACGTGCATGAAAATCCACAATTTTGAATATTAAAAAAATCAGCTTTGCACGTTTTATGAAATGCATTCAACACATTTGTTCAGTCAAGGATACACACTGTGAAAATCTAAATATTGTGTTTTTAGTTGGAAAATGAACAAACAAAATCAAATTTTGCGTGTATACATGGTAGGTTTACCATTTAAATCATTTTCATTTAGCTAAACTTCTCCACTTTAATGAGCCTGTTGCTTCGTAGCATTAATGAAGCAGCTGTTCCTCCAGTTCAGTAACAGTCTCTTGCTGAAATGGATTTACAGTCTTCACTGTGGAGGTCGCTGCAGGCTCAAGCTGCAGTGACAGAAACTCTCACTACGAACTGTGTCTGTTTCAGCTGAAGAAGAGTTCGTGATCGACGATGAGAGCAAAGGCTGTCAGAAGGTCATTCACAACGAGACCCAGAGAGTCGCTTACAGCTACTTCTTCTTCCACTTCGTCTTCTTCTTGGCCTCGCTGTACGTGATGATGACCCTCACTAACTGGTTCAGGTCAGTTAATGACACTCACTAGCTCTTAATGTTTTCACCGAAACACTGACCCTCTCATTAATATATTCATGATTTCTAAGAGATTGTGTGAAAATTAGTAGAATGCAGAAAAAGTGGAGGGTTATGTATTTTTTATTTTAGCTGAAAGGCGGTCATCAAAACTATTTGGGAGAGTGGGGGTGGGTCCTCTTCAATTAATTCAATAATTTCAATTGTTTTCTTACTTTGAGATATTTGGGGTATTCAGTTTTTCCTAATGGGAGGCTCAGAGAAATATGAATTATGCTGATTTTTTAAAAACGTGAAACAATGTTGGCCTCCCTTCTCATCCTAATAATTTTCCACCAGTTCCTAAGTGCTTCATCTGGCGGAGTTAAACTGTGTTGTCCTCTTCCAGCTATGAGTCGGCAGTGTTGGAGACCACCTTCACCCACGGCAGCTGGTCTACCTTCTGGGTGAAGATGTCGTCCTGCTGGGCCTGTGTGATCCTCTACCTCTGGCTGCTGCTGGGCCCTCTGTGCAGCTGTCAGTCTGAATCCAGACCTCGCCGCTCACGTATCAAACGCCGCTCAGCATCTTCCCGTCACGTCACTGTCAGCGTCTGACAGCCTCTGTGAGGGGCCGGGCAGGAGGGAGGCGGACGTGGCGAGACGTGGGCGAGAGGTCAGATGACTCCGAGCCTCCTCGTGGTGCCCCGCAGGAGGGGATTTTCAGGAATGGAGGTCACAGCGGTCAGAGGTCAAAGACTCACAGTCCTGTGAGAAGGACCAATCAGGAGGCTTAGCGCCCTGTTGATACGTGAAGAACTTGGTTAAGCCCTGATGTCACAGGCACAACAACATGAAATTAAACCACTAACAAGGACTTGACTGTGGTTTGGAAACACATTTACAGTATGAATTGCCAAAGGGATTTGAAGGAGTGAACGCTCACTCTCTTTAATGTGGGAATTACAGTAAGTCGGTGTAAAGTTGGATAAATTTATGAATTTCTACTGTTTCATTTTAGTGTTATTTTCAATTTTTGGCTGTATTTAGACTTTTAATATTGTAACAGAGGAAGAATTCTAGATATTTGCTGTAATGTTGCTACAGAAGCACACGTCCTAATTACTTTTTTTTCTGCCCTGAAAAACAAAGTCCTCTTATCTTTGGCAGTCAGCGGTTGTGATCATGAACAAATCTTTCTCAATGCTGGAACAGAGAACCAAGTGCAAGGTCAAACAAATACCATAGCTAGTTCTTGTCGATAACATCTATAATCAAAGAAGTGAACTGAAAATATTTAGGCAGGTCATTTCAACCAAACATCATAACAGACGTTGTCTCTGTAGTTTCATCTGTGAAATCAGTGTGTGTGTTCGGTTGGAAGCAGAACTTTAGATTTCTCTCCATTTTAAGTTTTTATATAATCTTTTATTTATTTTTTATTTTCACAACTTAAAAGTCAATATAATTGGTGACCCATCTTGCAATCAAATTCAGTTACCAAGAAGTTACAGTACAATCTTCAAAAAAGTTAAACGTTTTGGGAAATACATTGCACCTGGAGAGGAATGGCGTCAGCTCGTCTCACTGTAAAACCACAACTTGTTGATTTTACATTTCTGTTTGTGGACAGATTAAACAAAGGAGATATAACATGTTAATGATGAAGCTTCAGAGGGACAGAGGCAGGTGAGCTGTACCCTCAGTTTTTCAGTCTTTATACTAAGTTAAAGCTAACAAGCTAATGTAATATATGCAAGTTTTTGCTATTGCTATGTAGTCAATGTTATATTTACTTACCAGTCTAGAAGAGCTGTCTCTAGTGGTGGAAAGCAACTTTCTTGTTTAGCTTTTATTTCTATCACCTCTTTTCTTCTACTGAAGATAGCATGCTAACCAGCTAACCTGAGCCCGGTTGGCCCGCCTCGTCACTTTCCAATACCGAGTCACTGTAGCGTCCAGGCTGCCCTGAAGAAGTAGTGCTGAGAGGGAGGCTGTATTTTCTTGTAATCTGGCTGAAGCTGTTGTTAAACCACCATCACCACTACTCTCATCAGAAAAATGAATAGGCAGAATGTGTAACTATTGCTTGAACATCTATTAAGCACTTTTCTCTCCAGTGTTATAATGATCTTTTTTTATCACTTCTGTGATAAACTGAAATCAGCTGCTGTCATGACAATGAATGGAAAAGTCACAGTGGAATTACAGAGATTAACAGCATGAACTATTTCATTTAGTGTGAACAGTTACAAACCAGAAATAGTCCAAACAGAACAAAGCACTCCTTCAATTATGAACTGTGTCAACCTGTCAAAGAGGCCACTCCAGGACTGGTTCTTCATTCCACATTCAAGCTAAAGTGAAATTTGTTCATGCATTTACATAAAACCTGAAATGTCCAAAGATCAGATGATGAACAGATTCTCTGTCAGTGTTTTCTCTGCATTGTTTCACAAGATTGATTTTTAAATGCTCAGTGACAGAAGAGCAACTGAGAGGCAGCTACACTGAAATGTATGGTGCTCTTCAAAGTTCAACATAAGAGATTTGTTTAATTGTTGCTTGTTTAATTGGGGGAAAAAATTTGTTTGCATTTGACTTATAATGAGGAGCAAGTATGTTGCTTTAAGGTACATCATTCACTTCTAAATCCATTAATAATAGAGTGAACTGTGATTGTTTACATTATATTTTATGCATTTGATACTCAATTTGAAACCAGGAGTGCTAAAAAAAAAAAATAAATAAAATAAAATCTGAATTCCAGAAGGGACAGAAGCTTTCTGTCTCATGCCTTCAGATGAAGTAGTTGTGTCTCTAAGACGCTGAGGTGAGCTGTGTTATGAATCTAAAAAAAATACCCCCTCTTCCCCGAAAGGTTACTGCTGATGATGGAAACCTGGGAACAGATTCTCCATCTCTCCCCTTGACTGAAGGGAAACTGAGCTGAGTGTCTGTGATGACTTCTTTACGGTTAATGAGCGGCTGGCTCAGTCAAAACAAAACAAAAAAAAAAAAGAATATATATATATATATATATATATATATATATACAGTTATATTATCTGTAGTTTATAGCAGTGTTTCCTTTGTTGTAGATGTAAAGCATTTTTGTAAATACATTGTTTTCTTACAAATGCTGCTGGTCTCATGTTTGGTTTGTTCACTTGTGTGCTGCGCGTTCAAGAGCAAAAATCACTACTACATTACATCCAAATTATGTTGCAACGGTTGCTTTTTTTTAACTTCTATAATGATTTTATAACAAGAAAGTGGGTCATTATCATCCATACACCACATGGACAGATGTACAAAGAAACTCTTGGCACATGTAGATGAGGTTTCAAATGCATAACAAAAGGCACAAACTACTGACAGACGGCTGCAAATTTTCTCAAAAACAAAAACAAAAAAACAATTATGTTTTAGTATATTTGCAGCTAATCAGTGCCACACAATAAAATACTGTATATTTCATATTGTCTTTCATTAAAGTATCACAAAGCAGACCTGATTTAAAACACTATAAAAAAATGAAACACTGAAAGACATTAAACGAGTGACGCAAGAGTAAAGTGTTATGATTTAAGCTTATTTTTTTATACATAAATACATTGTGAAGCGATATGTTGTTAGATATCTGGAGTGAAAGCTAAAAGAAAAATCCACCTTCAGAACCGGTCATGCAGCTGAACGTTGGTGTATGATTTTCAGTATTTTGTGATTCCACATTTTGTTTTTGGCAAATCTAAACATTTTTCTCTTTTGCAATAATTTAATTAGCAGTTACATGCAGATTCTGTTTAAAGGTGGAAAATAAGTGGTAGCAGAGTTAGACGCCGTTAACATTGTTAAAGGTGGAATCTGCATTGCATTTTGTTTTTCTGTGGCTGTAGTGGAGAAACAGAGTTCTGAAGTTGAAAATTCTTCCCATTTCAAAAAGATTTCTCACATTGAATTACGTCCTCAACACGAACAGTGGAATCTCAGGTCAGGAACACACTGGCTGCATGGTGTGTGCGTTGCGGCTGCAGAACGCCTTGGTTTTCATTTTGGTGGCCATGTTAACAGGTTAGAGTTGACACATGCCTTGCAGCAGCATCACATGATCTAGAGATTCTGCATCTTGCCTATTTTTCACGATATGACGTGTGTCTCCTAGCAAAAATGAACAGAGGAAAGACTTGATGTTACATAAAACTGACAACTTCCACTATAGTTGTCTATGTCTGAATCTGAATATGACACAGACATGAAGAAATATGAATATAATAATTTTTTAACCATTTTAGTAGCTGCATGTGGAGGCACTGATATTTTACTTACATTTTCTGCCAAAAATAAATCAGACAAAGATAAGAAATCCAACATTCAAGTAACCTGCGAACTCAATGTAAAGAGACAGAACTGCAGCAGCTGTGACGCAGCCGGTGTGAACACAGACGTGTGTTTCTCCGCAGAAGCGACAGCAGCCATCACGCATACACAACGCAGGCAGTGTGTTACTGGTGTCATGCATGATTTAATGATGCTTAAGGTGTATGTTATGACCATCAGTTGTGCTATGGCAGATCTAGAAAGACAACCTCACTCATATTTTATATCGCACAAGCATTTGCTGCGATACAAACTCTACTGAGCTGCTGGAAACATCTGGATTAGTCCGAACACATGATTCATTCCCAGAAAGAAGCAAGGGACAAATCTGTGTTTGAGGGTATTTAAATAGCTGTTTCTGTGTTCTGAGGTGAATTTTTCTTTTAGGTTTACACACACACAAATACAATAATATGAAAAAAAAATTAAATGACAGCTGTGGAAAATCAGCAATAACAAAAAGGCCATTTCAGTAAATATTCTTCTCTTTGGTATGTGTTTAAAGGTGGGCACAATCGTCCACCTAAAGTGCTCTATACGGTACAGTAAGCTGGTCAGGCTTTTAAATAAACATGAGTCTTTTTGGTTTCTCAATGTGGCGAGTTTCAAATGAGGTTGAATCCAACTTTCATCTCTGTCCAGTGACACCACTCTGGAAATCATCAGGCTTTGGAGTCCGCTGACGTTTTGAAGGTCCAGAAATGAAACACCGGAGGTGAATAAAGCTTCAGCATGAGCATCATTCTCTGACGTTCACACACTCACACTCACACACACACAGACACAGACACAGACACACACACAAAGTTTGTCTCCACACTCATCCCCTCAGCTCCGCCGGATGTTTGGGTCCTCTGTTGCTGCAGAGTCTTTCGAGCGGTCGCAGCAGCTCGTCCTCTCTGGGTCTGTATGGCACCACGTAGCTCTCCTCCTCCAGCAGGATGCGGTTCAGCGTGTGCTCGTAGTTAATGTGACGACGCACCATCAGTATATACTGTTTCCCTTCCTCCAGCTGAGGGCAGTCACACACATTAGGGACCCACAGGAACTCCCGGTGCTCCAGACGGAAGCGGTTCCGGTAGGTGTGGATGATCTGGATATCGTAGCGCGTCTCTTCGCCTCTGTACAGCTTCCCAAGGACTCTGCCCCGGAACACTAACACAAATATTTCAACAGACATGTCAAACTTCTGTCACAAGCTATTTAAAAACAGCAAAGCTACAAGATTCAGACTCACCAAAGTCCTTCTGACAATACTGTCTCTGGCGTTCCCTTCGACCTTTAACACGCTGACATTTTCCACAATGTCCTGAAGAATAAACAGCAGAAATAAGCTGAGAGGTGTGGACATGATATAAATCTGGACCTTCTAGAAATACGTCAACATGTTAGGAAACTCGCTCGCTTGCCTTTTGAGTTAAGTGAGAAGGCATTGAGCAAAGAACCATCAAAGGAGCCTTCTAACAACTCCAGAAGTGTCTTATTTACACCCTCCCTTTCTTTATTCATTTCGAAAGTAGAAAATGAATGTCTTAATTAGCCTGCAGAGCTTCTGACCATCAGAAGCTGCATCATCTAGTCATTATCCAAGTCCTGTCGTGGACGTGATCACGTTTCACTTTCCAAAGTCTGACCAAAACCCAGGTTGACTCGAGAATACATAGCCAGCTAAGATACAACATGTAAATCAGAAAATCTGGTGGTGAACGTACGTCCAGGTGGAGGCTGAGGCAGGAGATTTCTGTGGTTCTCTTCCCGCTCCAGGCGGGGCAGGATGGGCTGGTGAGGGCGCTGGCGGCGGTTGTGGTGGCCTGACTGGCGCGGCGGCTTCACAGGCCGTAAAACTAGTGAACACAAAATCACACACCCACAGTCAACAATGCTTTTTAAATGGTTCAGGACTTATTATTTGTGTATATATTATTATTTATTATTTTAATGTTAAAAAACATGTTGTTAGTCATTAACATATAGGTAATATCAAAACAGACACTGCAAAACTGATGCAAAAATACAGAGGGTCTCTAAATTTGTGATGATGGTACTTTCTTCATGTGATCACGGCTAACCTACAGTGAATGTAAACACATCATTTTGCCCTGAAATGCATCAGTTAGTTTGGCCACGTTTGCTGTGGCTCATTTTGATTTGGCACACTGCAGCTTAGTGTGTGGCACAGCAAATTCTTTGTGTGGATACACGGATCTGATTGTAATGAAACATGAGACCTCTTGCAAAATGCCTGCGGCGTGTAAACAGCCCAATTTCATGTGAAAATGGCATCAAGAAACAAATGTTCTTTATCACAAACATAAAACACAAAACCCTGCAAGGATTCCTCATACGCTTCCTACTCTTTCACACTTTCTAACCTCATCCTGCTCAACACAAAAAAAAAAAATCACAACCAAACTCGGTGATGGGAAATCTCACCTTGTAACCTAACAAACAGTCAACACACCATTCCTGGCAACAATAAGAGTTCTGTTTGGCTCAGATCCATCAGCTGGAAAACGTTTCCAGAGAGGCTACTTAGATTTATTACAGCACTGGATGGACTCTGACAGAAAGCACAAGTCCTCGGGCTGCGTGCAGATTTCCATCAACATTTAAGGCGGCAGGGAGAGATAGATTCAGCACACATGCACTGCAGGCTCATCATGATAAATAAACCAGCTGCATTCCTCTGCAGCTTTTGAATCAAAGGTGACCTGAAGATGAATCGTTTTTAACAAACTGTGATTGATTGACATCTCCCTTGTTCTCCTGTCGGTTCGTTGCGATTGTTTGCTTTATTCAGTTTACATACTAATCATTACTACTAGTACGACATGGAAACACATGTGAGGGTGTGCAGGGAATTGTGCTGCTGCAGACTTGAGGTCAAAGGTTACTCATGAACAGGCAATAAAACCGACTCTAGTTGGAAAGGAAATTAAAATTCAGTCAATATCTACCTAAACCATGTCAAAGGAAACTCCACAAAAACAAAAAACTACAAAAACTACTGATGATATTTCTAGCTTAGATTCTGGGGAGAGCAGGTCTTACACCAGTGGGGTTGGGTGGTGACTGGAGGAGGCCGGGTGGTGGTGGTGGTGGTAGTGGTGGTTGTAGTGGTGGGCTGATCCCAGGGCAGGTAGCTGGCGGTGTGGTGAGCCTGACGCAGTGGACTCCTCCTCCCATGGTAGAGGTCGTACTGGTCTGGTGGCAGCCAGTACTCGTACTCGATGCCTGAGTTACTGTCTGTGGCCAGCACCTGCACACAAGGACGGCATGGAAACATCTTTATTGGCTTCATGGACACAATAACTATTTTTCTTTAGCTGCTAAAACAATATCACCACAAGGTCCAGGTCCGAGATCCTGACACCGACCTGATGCGATCAGCTAACGACGCATCACTCTGTTGGTGAACTACAAAGATTGTACTGCGGTATTACAGAGTGATACCTCATTTCCCTCTTAGACCATCTATGGTCAAGTAAACCAGCTTGGAGAGAAAACACAAACCCAAGGAGAGATTTTGGTCAGTACAGCTGACGTGACCTGCTGCTGTTGCTGCGGTTAGCTGAATGTTGTGTTCACACTTAACTTTTCTAACAACTTTTCTTAGCTCTGTGTCAGAACTCACAAGTCATTTGCACCAATTGGTGCCCAAATATTTATTTGCTGAGGAGTACAACACACAGTGGAGTTCAGTAAAGACCGGATCAGATCTTGATTGAACTATTTTCTTTGAGTTATAAAGAGGGTGACTTCTCCTGGCTAACTAAATTAAGTGAGCGATGAACAACAAGGCATGGCAACTAAATGAAAGATCCCAATTGCTTTTTGGGCTTGTTGTCCCAAAAGTTGTCTTTACCATAAAGATTAGGGATCAAAGGAGAACTAGGATGAATTTCAGGCAATAAACCAGAGTAACAGTCCTCCAGGAGGAAGTCATGATTGCTGCTGTATTCATACTTCACAGGACACACAGACCAACGTCCTTACACGATGTCAGAGGGAAGCAATGGTTAGCAGCTGCCTGGTCTGTTTGTGAAATACCTGCATGGAGCCTGAACGGAAACAATCAATTACTTATTCAAACCTGGTGAAATGCTCGAATAACTTAAAGTTAACAGCATATTGCACAATGTTGTTGACTGTGCAGCCTTTGTTCTGATCTAAAATAAATACGTATTTCACATGCAAACGATCAAAACCTTTACAAGGGCTTTATGATGAAGTCAAAGTTCACAAATGCTGTTAAAAATGTGAGGATTTTTATCTGGTTTCTGGGACAAGATGGCAACGACGGCCGAGCTGTCGTGTTCCAGCGTCCTCTGGGACTCTCACCATTAGATGGAGGTCTTCCTTGGTGGGTCCCGTCACCTCGAAGCTCTCCCAGGTGTCTGCTGAGCGCCGGTACAGCAGCTTGGTCCCGGCTATATTGTATTCGCCTGGAATACTAATCTTCCAGTTACCGTTGATCACAAACTGGGAGCGACCGTTCTGGAGAGCTGGGCGAGGGAAGAAGACGGAAAAGTTTGGTGTTATTCAGTGTTGAGAAGTGAGTGAAATTAGCTCTTCATCATATCAGTGGGTCACGTTGAGGTAAAGGCTGTCAGAGGCAGAAATATGCCAGTTGGCTATATATGGCAGCTGTTTCCCCTCAGCACAGGGAGAGAGATTTTCCATGACATGAGATGGAATCAAGTACCTTCACCTGCCTTGCCCCAGTGGTCAGATAAAGCCTTTACGGGTGTCCCGCTCAAGACCGCAGTGTGTGCCATTTTGGCGCCTGTTTTATTTTAGTCTCATAAACAAGGATGAGAATAGACGCCCTTGGTTATTATGTTGCCTGGAAAACACACAGCAGGTCCAGAGACCAGATGGGAGTGCTGAGTCCCTCCTGTCTCTGGGGAGAGGAAGTCACTGAAAGTCTCGGCTTTAATTTAAAGTGGCTGCAGAGATGGAGCCGGTGAAGTGAGTTCCTCAGTGTAAAACTTAAAACTGACGGCAGCGCAGCAGGCCAGGTGTCCTCTGTGTGTGTGTGTGTGTGTGTGTGTGTGTGTGTGTGTGTGTGTGTGTGTGTGTGTGTGTGTGACAGGATGAATCTTACCCAGATAATTCCTGCTGTTATCTGTGACTCGGATGTGAGTGGCTCCAGCTGGTATCATGGCCACTTCGTTGTATCCAAAGGGTCCGGCTGGCCAACAGAGACACTGAGTTAGAGGCTTGGTTCTAATTTTAATCCCCCCCCCCCTTTTTTTATTACTTCACACGATCAAAGGAAAAATCTGTTTTTTTACGAGCAGGGACACGAGCGCTGCTCTTAGAGCAGCTTTACAACAACGTAAAATGAGGCCAAGAAAAGAGAAGCTTTTAAAGTCCAGTGATTTGAATCTAAATGAAGGTGAACATTAAAAGTTAAGTCACACGCTGATCCCTTCAGACTGGCTGGTGCATTGCGGTGATGATACTGGATGTACGCCAGCGTTCAGTTTACAGTGGTGTGCTGGGATGTGACTTAAAGTAACTGAGAGGTCAAACACAATGAGAAGTCATGTAAATGGTCTGAAATAAAAACATCTCTGTTGTTAGAGGGGAATTTAAATTCACATTGGCGTGTGGAGATTGTGACTCTGACAAGAAGCACTGCTATACATCAACTGTGAGAAGCTGAATTGAAGATTGACTACAACATGAAACTTGCTCTTTACCAACACATGCATAGACAACAGCTGCAACAAAACACACACATTCACAGACCTGCCTGCAAACTTTGTGTGAACCTGGAGGATTAAAGTAGATCCAGCAGGTAGCGGATCAGGGCCGAATCATCCCTGGACAACCTCACAATATCTTATTTTGGAGCTTATGATTTTGCATCATGTAAATAATAATCATGGAATCACCTGAGGTGAAATCTTTGTTTCTCCCGATACACCGCCCAAACTGTTCATGTGCTTACTTGAATGACTGCATGTCAATTACACCTCACGTATCCACAAGATACAATTAACATGCACCAGCAACACCCTGAGAGAATGTAGGACATACTGTATCTAGACACATATATTAAAGAGGTTTATTGTCACGACTGTAGAAAACAGTGTAAAGACACAACTGGACACGTCTGCTCATGCAGATGTGCAACCAGACAGATGTCCAACACGACTTGCACCTGGTGTTTATTACTCATAGTCTGGTGATTTATGTCCTGTCCTCTAACATACGGTATTTCTACCAATGCAAATGTCTTTTTTTTCTTTTCTTCATCACACTCTCATTTGTGTTTAATGCCATTCTTGTGTCTTTCACTTTGTCGTTGCACTGAGCAACGCTGCACGTTTCTGAATTTTACAGTTTGGTGACTCAACAATATAGATTGCTGCAGGCCTTTGTACTATGCACATTATATTCAGGGTTAATCTTCAAATAGCACATTAAATCAGCATCTGCCATTTTCAGCAATGAGTAACTGGTAGGTAATCAGTAACCCACAAATAATATGGATTAATAATCAGATACAGTTATGGTCTTTTGAAGAGGTCTTGGCAGGTTGTATCTTGGTTGATGATTGTCTGTCATTATAAAACGATCAGAATCAGTGACGTCGTTAATGATTAACTGCGATTGATGTTTGAAAGAATCGCTTCACGAGCACAAAGAGACACGATTTATGAATGAGCTGGGATCACGACCGTACAGAGTGATATTTCACTTCTGAGCCAAAACAAAAAGGAGGCAGGGGCAGCTCTGTGGTTCTCCTGCTGTTCTATGGTTCTCCTGCTGTTCTATGGTTCTCCTGCTGTTCTGGAGTGAAAAGCAGCTCCAGGATGAACTCCATTCATCACGGCCTGTGAAGAGCGTGTAACTCCGGTCGCTCCTGCTTACCCGTGTCAGAGAGAAACTATGCACAGGGTTCATCTGCGGGGCTTCAGCTCTATGAAGACGCAACACTGTGACTGAGGAAATGTCAGAGTCAAAGACGGGCGGCGATGAGCTCGGGGCCACCGGCGTCTGACCTTGTGAGGAGCGATTTAGTGCCGCTTCCCTCCATCAGTTTTCCTTCCGTGGGGAAACGCAGCTGCAGGAGGAGAGAGAAAACCTCCCAAGGCTGCTGAGGAGCCCAAACAAAGCGGCCATTATCAGCCTGTTTTCTTCTTGCTCAATCTGCGCCATTATGGCCGCTGCTCCCATCTGTCAGCTCCACTCTGCCCGCACTCAGAGCTGTGTGAGGAGGCCACTGTTACTGAGCCAAGTCCTGAGCCAAGTCGCACACCAGAGGTGTTGGGTATTTTCTATCTGCTCGTGTGTGTGTGTGTGTGTGTGTGTGTGTGTGTGTGTGTGTGTGTGTGTGTGTGTGTGTGTGTGCGTGTGTGCGAGTGTGTCTATGATGTGGTAAGTTTCACAATTCAGTTCTATTCTCAGGAGAGGCCAACACAGGATCTAAAACTTTTTGTCCCGTTTGTCTCATTATGCCGCTGAACAAACCATGTGACATCGCTGCCATTTCTTGCTTGTTGCTGTGGGTGTTTCAATGCTCACAAGCTAGTAAATAGCGTATTAGTTAGGAAACACTGTGCAAATAAGGAACCCTTCGACTTTCTCTATGTTGTGACCTCATGCCGAGCAGCTCTTGTCAGAAAACCACTGCAGAGATTACGAGCGAATGTGGTGCTTTGCATTAAGTAACTGGGATCAGCGCCTCGCGGTTGTATGGCTTCACCAACCAGCAGAGTTACAGGAAATATGGTCACAATCTCCCCTTCCTGAGCTACAGCACTGAAGGGCCAGATGTGTTTTTGCAGAACATTATAATGTCACAGTGAAGTTGACCTTTGACCTTTTTGGATATAAAATGTCATCACTTCATTTTATCCCTATGCACATTTGAGTTAAACTGCGTCATAATTAGCGTATGAATTCATGAGTTACAGCCAAAGACGAGTTTTGTGAGGTCACAGTGACCTTGACCTTTGACCACCAAACTCTAATCAGTTCTTCCTTTAGTCCAAGTGAATGTTTGCACCAAATGTGAAGAAATTCCTTGCAAATTACTGTTGCATCCTTGTGCACATTAACTTGCATAGATCTTTGAACTGAAAGTGAACTGTGAGTGTTATTTTTCTGGATGTTTGCCTCCACTGCTTGAACACTGAACAGTTCATTTTCTCTCGCAGTTAAAGACGGAGCAAATTTTATTTTTGCTGCATTTTTGCGCTCAGTTTGTTTTGGTTTACACTGCACGTGTCCAAGCAAAATGAAAGTCACATGAATTCAGAGGCACAAGGATCATATTTTTATCACTCGCTATCTAATCCAATAAAAGTTCTTCTTCTACCTCTGAATGTTTATCTATATGGGCAAACCAAAGAAGAGCCCTGCAGATGTCGATGTCTGCTGTGAACAGTCAGACCCTGGATTAACCTCTGAGCTGCAGGTACCAGTGTAGGTAGAAAAAGTTTTGGTGGCGTTGAGCCAGAGAGTCGTTCTTTGGCCTGAGGAACTCTGTGTTCTTCCTGAAAGTTTAAGAACTGTAATTTTGGAGAAACTGTTGTTAGCTGAATTTCTTCCTGGACGGCAGCCAAATGCTTTGGTTTGGCACAAACTGTTTCCATGGTTAATGTTCACTTTATCGGAGAACAATGACCTCTTGACTAATCCTGATTGACTAATAACACTAGGGAGCGAAAACAGAAACAGCGCCTGGAATTATCCCAGAGAGTGTCAGCCTGAAACTGCTGCAATTGATTCCTCCTGGAGACAATATGATGATTGTCTGTGTGTATGTGTGAATGTGTGTATTTGTGTACGTGTGTATGTGTGTGTGTATCCTACCTGCCTCCAGACTGTTGCTCTGGTACACGTTCTTGTGGTGCAGACAGGTGGTGTTGTGTCCTCCACAAACCATGCAGGCGTCCTCCTGCTGCTTTGAGCCCAGGATGGAGTCGCATCCCGGCTTCTGTACGACAAAGCACACAGCTGTTTAGGAAACAACAGTCTGATCAGGCTGAATGTCTCTGCTGAAACTTGTTTCCTGACAGTGTGTTGACACATTTTCTGACAGGAGCCCTGGCAACTTCTAACCTTTCCCTTCTGTTTTCTCTTTGTTGTACAGTCGCCTCAAATCTTCTGCCATGACTCAACTCATTCCACTCTCTCTGCTCCTCTTATTTGCTTCTCTCTGTCAATTTCTCCTTCTTACAAACATTTACTTTGGAGAAAAACACAGCAGCTTAGGGACTGGAGAAGGGAGGACAGGTCGTAGAGATGTCTCTGTAAACGTTAAAATGCCAAAGCAAAGAGCACGCAGGACGAGCCGGATGGTTTATGGTGTGATGAGAATCTTGTTGCTGGATAGATTACAGTGGCCGCTTTCTTCTGTGGCCTTCATCTCCCGCTCTGCAGAGCAAACCAATCAAGGGGGAGGTTCCCGGGCAAGAGAGAGCAATAATCTAGAGAGAACCTATAATCATCCCCCTAAGCCCCTTAAAAGACACACACACAAAAAAAAACACTCTGTGTGTGCACAACAGGAAATGAATCCTCGGTGACAAGGTAGCAGAGTGCACAAGGGCCCAAATGAGGGAGCCACCACGGTCCTGCACAACACCACAAAACACACAGGCACGCAGCCTCTATTTTCCTTTTTTAGATGGGATTGGACAAAAACTGAAGCAGTTACTCAATTAATAGACTGGTCAGTCAAATATTAACTGATAACAGTCAGTTTAAGTCGAGCAACCACTTTGATCCAGACTGAAATATCTCAACAACAACTGGATTGAAATCAGGTGCAGGCATTCATGGGCTCCAGAGGAGGAATCATAATAACTTTAGTGATCCCTTGTAGCGCCACCATGAGGTTGACTTCTTTGGTTTTGAGTCAGACATTTTGATAACTATTGGGTGGACAGCAGAAAAAAATACAGATATTCAAGGACTTTTCATCCAGTGCCACCAGCAAGTTAACATTTTAATCTGTCCAGTTCTTTTGTTTATGACCAAATATCCACAAAACTAATGATTTTCCCTTCATCCCCAGCTGTTTAGTGTGAGTATATTAACATACTGATCTGCCTGAGATCACCAGAGTACATCCTCACAGAGCGGCCAGCGTGGCTGCAGTCTCTTCTTTCTTTTTTAAATCAATGTTAACCATCAAAAACCAAAACCAAATCTGGGTTCTGGTCTGTCTGCCAGAGCAAACAAACTATTTGAAGACATCCCCTGGGCACTGACGACATGTGATGTCAGATGATTTTCACTATTTTCTCACAATTACATTGATTGTCAGAAGATGAAATTAGATCATTGGATAATTACATCGATTAAACTTTCAGTTCAACATTTGGCAACTAAAAAAATAAAAAAAAACTGTTAACGCTGCAAAATTAGCTGTGCAAGAGCATCTACATACACTGCACACATATATCACATGCACACACACACACACACACACACACACACACGTTGCGTCCAAATCAGCCGTGTCTGATCTCAGTTGTGACCTGCAGCCGTCCACACCAGCTGCAGGCTGCATCTGCTTCCTGTTCCAGGCCCTGTGCAGCTCTGACCTCAGCCAGTCCAAGTCCACGGCTCATAAATCCACTTATTAACATCACATGACGCACGTTAGCGCGCACACACACACACACACACATATATATAGACATATGTAAACACGGACACAAGTTCATTCTTTGTCAGCTGTGTAAAAATAACTTATAATATGACTGTGAGTGAACCGTCATGAAGCAGATGTGTCTACTTAGTGTTACGTATGTATGCCATTACTCTGCATGTGCTGCAGGACCCGAGGGACACAAGTTCATTTCCATCTGTGTGAGGGTGAGAGGGGTGAGGAGGGGTGAGGAGGGGTGAGGAGGGGACAGACTGGGTGTGGGAGCGGGACTCTGGACTGTGGACTGAGTGCTGGGCAGAGCTGTAATGCTAACCGAAGGCTGCAGTCCACACTGATGAGTGCACTCTGGCCCTAACACGCAGCATGGAGTTCACTTCTCTAGAGAGCTCCAGTCAGAGTGGTCAACATCACTTATACCACAACAGAGTGGGAATGAAGACAGGAGAGAGAGAGAGAGACAGAGACAGAGAGAGAGAGAGAGAGAGAAACTTCAGCTGAGTCCAGACTCATTTTGAATCTGCATCGAACCAAAGGTTAAAAACTGGGAGGAGCTAAGAAGCCCAGAAGGAAAGGTCCTGTTCAGTTTCTCCGGACAGCTGGAGCACCTCCATGGTTTGCATGGACATTAAATTCTTCAGACTTAATAATCAGGAGGGCTGCACAATTAATTAAAAAAAATTGAAATTGCAATATGGCAAAGTGATGAAATGCAGTGCTACAGAGACACCCTGACCCAGTCACACTAAAACATAAACAAAAACCTGACAAAAAAAATCACATCAACATCTTTTTTTTTCTGTGAAAATGAAATGTAAAAACAACCGTTCCAACTGAAATCACATATCACAATATATCTGCCAAAATAATGGCAATATGATATTTTTTTTGCACATCATGCAGCCCTAATAATCAGCGCAAAAAAATGAACAGCTGTTCAGTTGTAATAGGTTCTTTGATAAAAAGTATAAGAGATGAAAGTTTTGGTGCTTAAAATGTGGTTGTGTATGCTGCTAAAGAAAAGCTAAAATTTATAGGAAAAACTTCAATATATATATTTTTATCATCACTGGATCAAAAGACTCAAAGTGAAAGGTGTCGCTGTCACTGACAAACCACTGAAGCACTGCGAAGCTTTTTAGCCTCTTTTACCTCATAGTTTCTGTTCTAGGATACTTTCACTGTGGTTTGGTTTCATTAGCACCGTCTCCCCCAGCTGCAGCAGGCGGCATATTGTTTTATCAATAAACCCACTGTCCACTACCTGCCCAGCACCAAACAGCTGACAGACAAGGTTAGAGACCAGCTGGTGAAGAAAGCTGGACATTTAGCAGCTGAAGAGCCAGTTGTTTTTCTCAGACGGTGGTGGAGACCAAACCAGAGTGAATATTGATACTTCAATAATTAGACAGAAACACAACTCTGTCAGGTAGATGTGCAAATAGGCAACTGTCTTATTCTTAACAACTTCAGGGAATAGTGGGCATATGTAATGATCTGTCAGGACTGTGTGTTGTGGAGTTACTCTGCCCCCTACAGACTGAAAATTCACTAATCCAGCTTTAACTAAAAAGTTATTTTGAAATATTTAGAAATAATAATAAGCCATTTTTGAAATAAGCATGACTGAACACCAAATGAAGGCAAAACACGCACACACACACACACACACACACACACATATTGTTTCCACTCACCAGGCAGCGCCCGTTGACACACACCGCTCCAGGCTCCTTGTCGCAGGCTGTGCCATCGAGTACACGGCCAAAGTTGTAGTAGAAGTTGTGACCCAGGGCCAGGCAGCTCAGTTCACAGGGGTTAGAGCCTGGCAGGGAAGATGTCCAGTCAGTGGCTCATTAGTTTATTATGGGAAAATAGGCAAAGGCAAAGGGACAGGGAGGGAGGTGACTGACAAACAGAGACGGGCAGGAGGTGAACAGGAGAAACTGGGAGAGAGCGGAGAGGGAGCGGAGGCAGAGAGCTGGCGGGTGTCATGGGGAAAACTCATAACACAGGTGGGATTAAACACCCAGCAGGTCTGATAGTAGACGTGGGAGTCATGGCAGCATGGGAAATTTACCACATGACTGCTACCAACACAGTAACTGAGGGGCAGACAGAGGAAAACACACACTCCCTACCACAGCTGGTATTTTCAGATCTGAGCACCGAATGTGATTTTTGTTTGTTAGGCAGAGCGTGGAAACAGTTTCATTCACCTGACTCAAACTTGACTTGGGTCATAGTTAATAGTTAATAAAATAAATAAATAATAAATAAAGAGAGAGAGGAATTCTTTCGAAATGGTGTCCTAAGTTTCTCACCTGATTTTATGCATTCTTGATATGACTTATTTAAATATTTGTATTTATTCAAATCTGTCTTTATTGTTGTTTAATGCTATTTTAATGTCTATGTATTATGTATTTCCATGCCTCTGTAGATTTGAAAGATTTGAAGAATTTAATGTGGACAAATCACATGTGTGTTTATACCACTGCTGTGAAAACCTTGTATCTCCAAACGACAAGTCTTCAGCAGCGAGAGGTGATTTGTCCCACTGACCTCCATGAAAGGTCGTCCATCTGAAGGAGTTTCCCGCCACTAACGGTCTGTCATTGAAGGCAGCACACTGCATCTCTCTGAAATCCTCAGAGCCGGAAGGACACTCCTGCACACACACACACACACACACACACACACACACACACACATACACACACACAGATACACACGCACCGTGAGGAAGTAGTATTGGATTGCGAGGACACCATAATCATTCACCAGAAATTTATCTGAAACTTAACCATATCAACTTCATACCTAACCTCAGCTCTTATCCTAACCTTGACCCAGTCTCCTAACCCTGAAACCGAGTCTTCATCCTAAAAAGAACAGTCAATGGGAACCAAACTGTTGGAGTCTAAACCTCATGCTGGTATCATGAAGTGCTGCAGAGAGAGAGGCGTCGACACATCGTACAAACTGCCACATGCACACACATTCAAGCATGCTTAAACACGCTGCAACCCATCTGTGTGTTTTTCCTTTGATCAATATGAGCAACAGTGACACACCCACCCACCCGACCCACACACACAACACACACACACACACACACACACACACACACACACACACACACACACACACACACCACCTCTCAGCACGTTTCCGACACAATAGCAGGTCTGATACCCGACTGCAGCACCACTGTGAGGTGCAGTGCGGTGAAGATGCAGGTTAATTTGTCAGTAAAATTCCAGATCACACCTTGAAAATCCTCAGGTGCTACACCTGCGCCGAACACACCTTTATGACCAACTGGTGGAGCAAACATTAGCCATTGTTCTAAGATGTTTCCATTGAAAGTCAGTTTCTCATACAGTGTGAAAACCTTCATGCTGAAATGACCTTGGTGTTGCAGATCTTGTATTGTCTGGGGTCTCCTGCACATGGTCCACCCACCGGGTTCCTGGGACACAGAACAAAGAGATTTATGGGACAAAGTGATGCAAACAGAAACTATGTAGTGAATGAACATGCTGCTGTAGTGTCTGGTTGAACAAAGATCTTTTATTGTCACTTATTGTTGATGAAACAAGAAAGAAACAAATATAATTTCCTTTCCCTTGCGTATAGACTGAGCCGTGTTGCCCTGCTGGCTTATTTACCTGGTGATGCAGGTACGCGTCCGCACTGAGGCTCCACCCCCACAGCTGCGGGAGCAGACAGACCAGCCGCTCCATGATGCCCACTCGTTCCTGTAGTGCAGCTGCCGTCGGGCACGTGCCAGACGCCCCGACGAGGCCTCACCGGAAGGACCCCACGCAGAAACCCAGGAGGTCTGAGACGGACCAGAGAGAGAGAGAGAGAGAGAGAGAGAGAGACACACACAGACAACCACTTTAATGTTGACGTCGTGACGTGACAGAAAAAGAGAACAGTGTGTTGCTGAGATTGAGACTGAGACACCTGTCAATCAAGGAAAACACACTTCACAAATACCTCAAACAAACTTCCCTTTAAACCACAGTATCTTCTCAGTGGAACATTTTAATGGCCAACCAGACAGAGAAACAACACACTAGAAAAAGTGGAAATAGCTGTTGCGACTTGGAGGCCTTTACTACAGTTTGTGAACTGTTGAACCGTATTATTACACAAAGGTGCACCTATGGCGCGCACTGTATTACTCCACTTTGAGTCAGACAGAGCTATGGGTAGGTGGCTGTTTGACAGTAAGATAAAGCGGTAAAAATATTCAAAATAAAGCGTACACTTAAACTGATATTAGCTTCTTTTCCGTGGGTATGTTTAAAGTGGCTAAAATACAATTTTTTGCATCACTTCTATGCCAGTGCGTCTGCTGCTTCTCCAAACTGGCAGCGTGCTGATCTGAATCTACTGCAGGTAATACACTGACTATAGATAAGTACCTCATACAACCCCACGTGAAATATCCTCAACCTCCACTTTAATATTAATTTCTTGTAGCACTGATCTAAAAAAACTGACCGCAAAACCGACTAAAACTGGAGAGAAAAACAGTGATGGACAAAACAGTCAGCAGTGTAAACTTTGTTGCTACAGCATCAAAGCAGCGGAAAAGTTACTTGTGGAGTTGTGCACAGTCGGGTCCTCATCAGCTGAGAGAGCAAACACTAACAACTACAGGGTGAACAAGGCTCTCTGCTCCTCTGGTATCACTCTGCAGCATCACTCTGCAGTGTTGTCCTGCAATTTCAAAGCTGTCAGGTGGCAACTGGCAACTGTCAGCAGCTCACAATCCCTGCGTGTGTGTGTTGGTGTGTGTGTGTGTGTGTGTGTGTGTGTGGAAAACAGAGAGACAGTGTTGGCAGAATGATGGGATATCATTTGTGAAAGTTTGTTGGGGGGAGTGTGTGTATGTGTGTGCTGCTGAACAAAACCCACATTATTTATAGCCATGAATTCAACAGGCAGATAAATCTATTCAAAGACTAGGTGGTACATAAATTTAAAAAAAAAAAAAAAAACCTTGTGAGCCTGGTGGATCAGGATCATCAGAGCCAAACAATAAAAGTGATTAGAGAAATCTCAATGGCGCTCCTCAAACACATTCCAGAGTTTCTGCCCTGGAGGAGGACTGAAACTGGCAGCGCTCCCACCGCTTTCTCAAACAGGAGCTGCCTCACACACTCTTTTAACTCTTTACACACACACACATTCAAACAATCCAGCTGACTTTCTATCAGGAGGAGCTGAAGTCAGAGTCATCTGAAGTATCTGCTGCGCAACACGAGCGTCGACTCTGAGGCCAGATGTGAGTAAGAACGTGAACCAAACGCGACTTAATGCGACTTGTCCTCCTTTCACGACTCCTCCCTCGTTAATACGCAGATTCATGCAGCAGGATTCTCTGCTGTGTAATCAGATCAGCTACTGTACAGCAGCAGCAGTGGGGTGTGACTCTCCGCTGTCTTGTTAAAAACACTTACTGACATTTTTATTTTCATATCACAACTTGGAGTTTTTCCCATTCACTTCACTTCTGACTTCTCCGTCAGTTCCTACATCAGATTAACTGCAACGGATGGTCTGGCCCCCACAGTCCTGAACATCAACGTCATGGAGTCAGTCTGGGATCAAGAGGCAGAAGACACTGAGACAGTCTAAATCTACAGAACAACTGTGGCAGGTTCTGCCGGGACGACCTACTTACCAAGTATCTGAAGAACCGTGAGCAGGTGCACTGAGGAGAAGTTGTACCAGTTTAAAGGCAAAGGGGGGGGGGGGTGGCAAATACTGATCTGATTTCGTGTTTAAAATGTCAACAATCACCATTCACTGAAGAAGTTATTAGAAGAAAAATAACAAAATCACGACTAGAACGAGTGGCTACCGATGTGTCCACACCGCACGTCATATTTATATATATGTGTAGCTGCTGGGGAGCACCACTGCACATAAAGTGTTGTGTGTCTCCAGAAATATGGGCTCAACACTAACTGAGTGTAATGAAAACAACTTTACTATATGGCATATACCATTACCATACTTCTTATATTGTATCCCAATGAATCTCAGTGAAACTATTTAAACATTCAAAACCTGGAAACAAAAAGTTTAACAGTTGTTTTAGTTTTAACTGTGAACGTCAGTCTGACCGAGCTGACGTTCATCTTGTAGCTCTGTAGTTACAGCAGGTGGAAACAAAACTGAGACTGACTGAGACTTTCTGACTTTGTGACTCAGAATAGAATTGGTCAGACATGCGCGCGCGCGCGCGCGCACACACACACACACACACACACACACACACACACACACACACACACACACACACACACACACACACACACACACACACACACACAGCTGAGAGCGACCTGTGCTACGACTCTCCATCATTTTCCATGGCAGGGTCACCTGAGGTCGCCCTCATTAGTGTTACCGCCGGTCAAATTAGCGTTGATAACAGTTGGAGATGGGGTGGGCTGGCATTCTAGATTAATGAAAGTGACCTTTGACCTTTACAATTCACCCATCCCCCCTCCTTCACATGAACAGAGAGAAAAAAAAAAATCTCCTCATGTTTGAGAAGCAGAGTGCATACAGTCAGAGAGACTTCAAGGTGAAGGTAAAGAGTCAGACAGACCAGATGAACAGAGTTTCCCATCATGCCTCTTGTCTGTCAGCAGACCTCCTGCAGCCGACAGACGTGGCTGCAACAACCTGACAGCTGGTGAAGACAGAGACCACGTTTACATGAGCAATCACGATAATATGCTCATTATCTCATGCAATATGTCCGTTATATGATTTTTAGATTTAATAATAATTATTATTATTATCATTTACTTTTTTTGCTGTTAGTTAGCACGATAGCTCTTTGTTGTGAACAGATTGAATGAAGTTCTGTAAAAAGTCAGGATATGAGCGAGTGATAACGCTTTCAGGAGGAATAAGTCCATAAATTTTAAAAATCATTTTTTAACATCTCTTAGGACCGAGACGTTATTTCTCCTTAACTACTGAACCATCTTGAAGAAACTGATCTGCCACATGTGTCACTTGTCTGTTTTAAAGGTTTCAATAATACTGCTGAGCTCTCTGTACTGACCACCTTAAAACATTTCCATAATTTATAGTGAAGAATGTCAATATGGCGTTCTGCAAAAAGCGATCTCAAATGTTGCCGAAACACACACACAGCCTATAATTTGGTGTAAAATTAGCCACAATTATGATTTAAATGAACAAATATCTAATTAAAGAATAATTAAACAAGTGTGTAAATCTGAACAAGCTTTCAATGTCAAATTTAAATGGAGTGTTTATGCTGTTTCTTCCAAAGGGGTTTGTCCAGCTGTGACAGAGGCACTAGCTCTCTGAGATACAGAAGCACTATTATTACTACTGGCGGCAGTAGTTCTAGTTCTATTGCTGCTTTTTTCATTAAAAATGTTTTTCCTTGTCTAAAGGGAGCGGTTAAAGAGAGAGGGTGTCATATGTTATAAAGTTATAAAACTGACTTGACTCCTGGTCCATTTATTCACAGTAAGTCAGTAACATGACTCTGCTGCAGGCCCTTTGTAAACACAATCCTTTGGCTAAAAGGAGAAATGCAGCCAGTTACAACCAGCTCTTAGTTCAGCATTTGGCATTTCCTGACACATTTGTTCTGTTTGTCCCGTGCTCATCTTGAAGTGACCACATGTTGACAGCGGAGACGTTGCCAGTGCAGCTGCGTTGATGACTGAATGCAGAAAATCTTCCGGTAATCTGCTTGATCTAAAACAGCTTCTCAAAGCGTCATGATTTTTTTTTTCTTCGGAGTCATTATTTTTGTTTAAATGACATTTCTGACTTTTTGTTTTTCCTAAAAACAGAAAAAGAAAAACGGGGCTTGAGTGTGTTGACCTTCCACTACATTCCTGTGTTTGATGTGACGGAGCGGGCTGGGGGTATCTCTGTCTACGTCTGGTTATTCCAGCCGGGCCTGGGGGAAGGTTTGAGGGGGGGGTGTCTGTCTGACAACAAGACAAACAGTGATGAAAGATGGACGCTGCGGTTAGAGGAGAAAATGCAGTGCAGAAGCAATCAGAGCATGGAGAGACCGAGAGGATGCCGGCTCGTAGGAAACGCCACCATTTCCAAGGCAAAATACCATCAGAAGACAAACACGCCACCGCTGCAAAAACAATCCAATCAGCACGCTCCCTGACCTCAGCGATCAGCAGAGCCGCTCACATCTGACGCTGGTCAAAGGGGCTGTGATTGGTTTATTACCTAAATGAGCAGGATTTTCCTCTGTGGAACCTGAGAGCAGAATTTTCTCCACACACAAATTATCTTAATCACAACATTTAACTCTGTCAAATACAGAAGAAGAAGAAGAAGAAGAAGAGGTGGAGGCAGGAAAAAGTGGGGAGGCTGTGGGAAATGGCCCCGGGCCCTGGCAGGTTAGGACTAGGTCTATAAGGCCCGGTGTGTAAATGCAGCGTGGTGCCACTTGTTGAAACACCGTCATCCAGCTATTAGCTTTGTATATTTGCACAACACAACACAAAGGTTGAAATTATGGCAGCTGAGTGACCTGCTGTGAACCCCTCAAAAAAATCCATGTAAGTAAACTTAAAGCTCTGTCGTAAGAATTCAAAGATAATTAAGGACATCAGTTAAGCCTCCTGTAAACTTTAATTAAATGTTATCAAACAAATATTCTCATATTAACAGGGAATCAAATGACAATGTGCAACATGAAAGACTGATAAGACCCAATCAGGGAGCAGCCTTGAGTGACTACGTCATCGTTTCTGGCCGTCCAGACTACAACACATCCCCAGAGTTAACGACCAGCTGGTGAAGAAAGTGGAACGCGTGGCAGCTAAAGTGTCAGAGTTGTTGGACTCAGTGTGGATGCTGATGCAGCTCCATGTGCCTGATGTGAAGATAGGCAACATGTTACTTTACAATACGTCCATAATGTCTGTGGTTAGTTCTCCTGCCCTTTAAAGACCAAAGAATGAACTAAAGTAACTTTAAACTTCCTTCGGGCTTCAGCTGATACAATCGATTCATTGATGAGTCCATCCACAGAAAAATGAACTATTTAAAAGAAACTATTTTGGTTATTTATTAATGGATTAGTTTCAGTAATTTTTCAAGCAAAAAAACAACACATACATATTCTCAGGTGCCATGGATTTGTCATGTTATGTATGAGAGTGAACTGAATATCTTTGGCTTGTGTTTGACATTTGAAGACGTCAGATCAGATTTTGTGACGATGGCATTGGCATTTTTTTTTCACTATTTTCTTGAGAGCAGGTTAATCAGTCATGAAAATAAGCGTTAGCTGCAGCCAAAGTTTGGTTCAGTTTAAAAATGATTTTGAGCAATCGCGGACAATCTCATGGAAACTCGTCATGATTGGCTAATTACAAAGTTCCCACTGCAGAGGGTTACATCATGTAAAAGGAGCTGTGGTTAACAATCAATCCAGGGTCAAAATAGTCAGAGGTTTTGAGACTGAGCGAGGCATTAGTGTGGAGGCCGTGCACTGACTTGTGTTGACATGGGCTGGTGGGACTTACACTCTGCGGGGAGGACAGGCAGACGGGAGCGAGCAGCAGCAGGACAAAGGTCAGGGCCTGGCACAGAGTCAGCTTCCTGGAGACATGGAGAGAAACAACTGCCGTCAGTCGCATGGTGACATCACCCTCGTCGTTTTCCACATTACACACACACGAAGGCACAAACACAGAAGTGAAGATGTAGAAGCCGTCGCAGCAGAGCTGTTCGAGAAGCGGAAAGAGAGGACAAGCGAGGAAACTGAAAGAAAAGACGCGACTGACACTTCAAACAGCAGAGGTCTTTAGGTCATTGATAATATCCACAAATAAGCTGCTATGCTACTGCGAACCCCTGTGGGCAGGAGCCAAGGTCAGGAATGCCCCCCCATCCAGCAAGTATCATTAATTCCCCCCGCCCAGTCCTCTCACCCACCCCAACAGTGTCTTATTAAATCCCACATAGCCCAAGAGGGAGGGACCGCTCGGCTGACTGGATCCAACCTCCCCCCTCATCACCTCCTGTCCAACTGTTGACCCCAGTTGCATAAAACGATGCTGATAAAAGTGCACTACAGTTTTATCATTTCCATAAACATACACATACCACACAAAACAACAACTCCTCCCCCGACTCTCCATCCCCGCCAACCCAGAGGACAACAACACAAATAAATACAACTTCCCCAATCAACGCTCTGCAACGAAAAAAAAGCCCCCTGCAAGATGCAAACTGCAAAATAATTAAAAATATCTCCACAGCAATTCCTTTCATTTTCTGCCAATCATCTTTTCTCCTATAATTGTGATGCACATCAAGGAAAATCTGAGAGTCAAGGTGTTTACAACCTCAAATATAAAGATGCTAGAAGATCAGTATCACCTGCTGCATTTACATGAAGTTTTTATATCACTCATAATCTGAAATAAAAGCTCAGTTGGAATAAATATCCAGTTGCACCAGGTCTCTACATTAAAAAAAGAGTTGCACCACACAAACTAGAGCTTGTGCACTTATTTACACCCAGTTTACGAAGCTAACTGGACACAGGAACACAATGACAATGCTAATGTTAGCTTGGTAACATATGGCCAGTTGTGCTGTTGTCTATTGTATAATCTATTGTTTGGCCCTTGTTACAGCTTGTGATGCTGCAGCAACAGATGTTTCCTAACAACCTGTTTTAATGGTGCACCCGGATTTAGTAACTCACTATTTGAAACTAGCTGGTGGTCACTAAGAACCACTGGAAGAAGATTTTCACATTTGTTCACTTTAGTTGAGTTGGAAAAAGACTCAGAACCCTTTCTTTATTTTGACATTTAAAAACATTCAGGGTAAAAAAATGTTCATTCCCAAGGTAAAAAGCTGGAAAGTGGATGTAAAACTTGTGATTTTTGTGTAAAAAAGCAGTATGATATTTATATTGAGTGAAATAATCAAGCTATAAAATGATTTTATAGCTGCACCACACATGAAATGGAAAGGGTGATCTCCAATAGAGTTTAAAAAAGTAGAAAAAAGTTCTTTGGGTTTTAAATACGTCTGGCTGCACAGAATGAGTTTGTAATGACTGAGCCACCGGCGGATCAGTGTGAAGGACTGATTTGATGCTGTCAAGCACAATCACTGAATCAGCGTGACAGTCGATCACTTTGAGTTTGAACCAGCTTCATATCAATTAGGGGAAATAACAACGACCTTGGAGATCAGCTTTCCTGGAGCAAATACTCAGCTCTGATTGCAGAATAAACATCATGTGCGATCCACGACCTCACTTGACAACAGTGCCTGTATTTTGAGACCAAACAGCAGCATGTCGAGACCGTGTCAAAAGCAACTCTGAGCTCTAGTATCAACACAGTGAGCCACTTCTGAGCTGCTACCAGATAAGACCTCCACTGAGCCTTGTGTTGAGTGTCTGTTGTGTTTGTTTTACCCGCTGCCTCATCTCCGTCTTTACCTCCGGGGCAAACACGACGAGGCAACTGTGAGCCGCCGATTCTCCGTCTGTCTCTGCCTCTGACTCATCAAAGGACAAGTGCTTTTTCTGAGAAGTGCCGGGGATTCTTGGAAAGCCCCTCTCTCTGATTGCTTCCTGGCACTGCTTCGCTGACAGCCACAGCGTGTCAGACGTTTGAGGCTCTGTTCTGTGATGGGGACGTGTCATTTTCATTATCGCACTCTAAGGAGAAGATATTTTGGAGAGTTACACCGACTTAATCGTCTCCATTTCCTTCACCCTGCCCTCCTCTCTCACATCTCACTTCGTCCTCCGTCAGCTTCCAGACATCTCTCTCTCTCAGTCTGTTGTGTCTCTCTTATCTCTCCCTGAGCCATAAACACAGAGCTGGTCCAAAGCTTTTGGGACTGACTTTTGGCTCAGTCCCAGGTCAGTAGCTGCCCTGTCCAATTAAACGATACACATCTCCCTCACACTCGGTTGAGCAGCCCTTCCCTTCGGAGACCCGAGCTCCCATCCTGGCCTTACATGGGGAAATTCACATCTAAAGGAACAAGGAAGGTCACACTGACAGAAAGAGGCAGAGAGCACACGATCACGACTGATGCAACTGCCTTTGACTAAAAGACCATCGTGTGTTTGCTTTAACATCTCACACAGTTCAGCTGAAACACTTGTGCTCATCATTTTCACATATCGTTACAGTATCAAGGTGGAATTTCTCTACAATTAATCAATTGGCAGAATCTTAAAAATGTGCCTGAGTCACGTAATTCAAAGAGTGTTGTTCATTATTTTTTTGTCCATGTTTAACTGCGTGGGAACACAGCTGAAGTCCACACCGATTTAAAACAGCCTGCACTCCTTTACCTCATCATGATAGTGTAACTTTGATAGAACTAAATCCAGAATCAGCTGCTTTAAATTATGTTTATATCTCATTCAATTATGAAGCGCACTGGTTCAGGTTAGGGGAAGATTGTCGGCTTTGGTTAAATGATAATAAACACGTGCCTCAAGTCACTGTGAACTTTTCCTGTATTAAACCAGACCAGGATCTGTCTCTGAGCATGACCAAAGAGCTGAGAGGGACACAACAACAAGTGGATGTTATAGTGCGAGATCAGGTATTTTGGTCTGTGAATAACACAACATTTCCTCATTATGTTGATAGAAAAGTTGCAGTTACGTTTCCTTCAAAACATATTTGTTGCAACAATTTAGTTTTATATAAATGTCATTTCGAGTGCTGATTCATTCTCTCGTTGTACTGTAATGAATGGAAACCAATGGTCGTCTGGAGCGGCAGAAAAACTGCAATAAACTTTCTAAGAAACACCTGTATGTTCTGCTTAATGTTCAGTTATGATGTAAAATATTCTCAACATGATTTTTAGAACATTTATCAAATTAGAAAGGTTTCACAGAAGATGTTTTACATTACAAATATTAAGTTTTGGGATTGATTAAAACTGCTATAATCGATATATTTGTATAAACAGCAGATCAGCCAACTCTGTAGCTCCCCTCAGCTCGACAGCCTGTTTCACAGCTGGTAACTTTATTGATTTGCTTCACTCTCGCTGGTCTCAGCAGCAAACAGACAGACACAGGTAGAGAGCAGCTGGTGAACATAGTGCAGCATTTAGCAGCTGAAGAGCCAGAGATTTCCCTCAGGAGCTGGTGGAGACCAAACACAGAGCTAAAAGAAAGAGCGGGAACACTGGAGTTAGACTGGAAGGACAGAAACATGACTTCAAATGAACTTTAGTGTTGGTCTGTGTCTGCAGTAAATAGACAACTGTCTGCTAACACATTAACTTTATAATGTGACAATATGTTTGATCTGATGAAGAATCAGTTATTAAATGGACTGAGCAACTTATTTTTTACTATTTTAGTTAAAACAAACAGGTGAATTGTTTTCACAGATGACCAGCAGTGACTGTTTTGAGTGTGTGTGCTCATCAGTGGTAATTTCATAAAAGCAAAGTTACACATATGAATGCTTTGGACTGAAGTAATCCAAAAAAAAAAAAAAACATGAAGTCACTTCTCTCACTTTCACTCGATGTTTGGCTTCAGTTTTTGAACATGAAAAGACAGCAGCTCCGGTCACTGACTGGTTGGCCCCCTCGCTACAGGGGCCCTTACAGAGGTGAGCAGGGGTCAGCCCGCCTCCTCCTGCACTCATTAAGACTATAGCAGCACATTAGTGAATAGCTCCGGGGCAGGGAGAGGGAAATGGCTTTAATCAATATGAGACCAGTTGTTTATTTTGACTGACATTAGTCGCTCTCGTGAAAAAACACCAGCCACACCCAACGCAAACGCCACTAAAGCACCTCAATGAAAACAAACACCACTCAGAATGAGGCTGGAACCGTCGTCTCTATGAGCTTTTATTTGAAAATGGATGTTTCATAAACAGACAGATTTAACGCTAATGAATCGTTCGATAAAACTTTGCTGAATCTAAACTCTAATGATTTTATTGATGCAAGTTGGTGAATAAATTATAATCTTGTTTCGGACTGTTGGTCAGATATAATAAGCAAATCTGAAGATATATATTATAAACAAAATGACTGATTGATTAATAAAAATCACTCGGCAGATTATCAGTAATGAAGATAATCATTAGTTTTCCCACTACGCTGTGTGTCCAACTGCAAACTCTGTGAAACTTTAACCTTCAATGATCTTTGGTAGATTGCGATGATTAATCCTTTAATGGATCAGTTGATGGACAGGAAATTAATTAATTAATGCTCCAGTGAATATTGTTTGGTGTTGGACACAAGAAGACATGTGAAGACGTCACCTTGGAAACTTTAGATGATTTATCTCTATTTGCTGATACTTTATTAATCAAATGTTTAAATCGATTAATTGATAAAATACATCGGTTTTGAACGTTGTAGCTGTGTTCATGAATATCTCTCCTATTACTCTGTAATTTGATGCAGATCTCGATGAAGAATTTCTAAATATTTTCTTTTATTAGAATAATTATAAATTTAATAAAAAAAGGATTTTGCAGCTCTGGCAGAAACAATCACTGATACTTCAGTCCACACACAGACAGTCAGACAGGTGACATAACCTTCAACTAAGCTTCATGAGCGGAGGTGAAACTCTCCCCACCCTTTATAATTCCTCTGTAACGTGACTGAACTCACACACCTTTCCTTAAACACACCCTGACAGGTAGCTCTCACGTTCCCACCCTGCACAAATAAACAACAGTCTCATGCTGTTATCATGCAGCTACATTGAAGCTATTGTGCTGCGCTGGTTAGAGTGCACGGCAGGTGAGAATGTGTCCTCTGACCTGCGGGAAGGTGCGAGTCACGTCAACACCGGAGACACCTGACTGAAGGTCTCTGCTCCTCTGGTTTCTTCGTGTGGGATCTCAGTCTAAGTGTTTCTGTATGGTGACCTGTAGGCGTTCTTTTTACAATTGTCTGCACACCCACAGAGTTTGGAAAAGCAATACGTCTTCCAACCAGGGGCCAGTCTTGACCTTTGACCCGCCAAGAGATTTAGCTGTGACCCACCCAGAATTTGGGAGAGCCGGGTGGAGGGTCTGATGGTTATATGGAGCGCGCTGCTGAATGAATTGACGCAACCTTTAACAGATGTTCGGTGCGAAGGCCCGGAGGTCAGCTCTGACCCCTGGATCTGTATTGACTATGAATGAGGCAGCAACAATCGAGCGCTCTGTGGCCTCGGTCGGCACGCACTAACAAAACCAGCCTCTTTGAACGCAAGTGGAAGGTCTTTGTGCCTCAGCAGCTGCTTCACTTGAAGATGTAGTAAAACATTTTAGAGAAAAGAAATGAAATACAATTGTATGTTTGGACAAAACACCCAGAGAGGGCTGAGGTAAATCACTAAATGAAAAGCAAACATCGGTATCGTGTTGTTGGTTTTGCTGTTGCCATAATGTCTAGACTCAGCCTCTTGCTCAACTATGGTCCCTTCCCTTCCTTTCCCTTCCCCTCGTTTCGCTTCACTTCACTTGCTCCTTCCACGACAGGGAGAACAAACTTGGTACACCGTCATACCTCAGGGATTATGAGATTATCTTTTCACAGCCACTCTGACTGAAGCAGAGCCTCTCGGGTCATCTACAGTCATGGTCTCACAACATGAGAAACATGAAGACATGCATGCAAGTGACAAAAAATAACAAACATCATGAACTCTGAGCAACATTTTTAAACATTAAAAAGCAGAGACAAGTGAAGGGAATCACTTCTTCTCCAAGGCGCACGGCTTCAACAGTGAATGTCTAGATTTTACACCCAAACACATTACACCTTGCACTTAAGCTAAATAAAAATAGTTTTTTATTGAACCTGCGAACGTGCCCCGCAGGATTGGGAGGCAAGTTTCTGTCTCCATCGGTTTCATAATTACAGGTAAAAAACACTAATGGCCCAATGGCAGAAATCCCAGATCTGGATCGCCACCAAAACCAAATCAATTGTTCCTTGGCACAAAGCCGATGTGTCCATCAAATTTCATGGAAATTCTTTCAGAGGGTTTTAAAACATCACGCTGACAGACGGAGAAAGACACTAAATGGATAAAACCACAACCTTAATCCTCTTTGGAAATAAAAGGTTTCACACAGCACAAGTACGAGCTTTTCATCGGGTTCGTGCAGAGAGACACAAACACCGGGCAGTAAAGTCTTATCTGACTGAACCTTGAAACCAGACCGTGTCCATCAGTGAGATCACCGCCTGACTTCAGTGTTTTCTTTCAGAGGGAGAACAGGGGTCGGTGTGCACAAGTGACTCAAGACCAGGACCTGACTCAAAGTAACCTGGAAACGGTGTGTGGATGAGCGGGGTGTTGTAGCGGGACCCGAGTGTTCACAAGGTTAAAAAGCTTCCATGTTCCTCAGCTTAAGCAACTGAGATACAGCTGTGGTTTTCACCAGATGTTTTCCTTCTGTTACTCACGTTGTGGAACTGCGGGTTTTGAATCGTTAGAGTTTATGTGATTTTGTTAAATTAATGAAGCGACTTAAATCAATTCTCTTTAGGATTCTGGGTCAGCTCTTGATGAATTCGGCCGCCGTGTCGCAGCATTTAGTTCCCAACTGAAACAAATGAAGCTTGTTCACTGCTTCATGTTGGCTTCTTCTCCAAATAGTACTTACAGTGATGCACATTACCAAAATGACAGAAATGAGACTTTCTGTACTTGTGGATGAATGAATTTTACCTGGAGTCAGCCTCAATGCGCTACCATGACTTCAGTAACTGTATGTTCAGTTCAGGCTGAGCTGGTGCAAATTTGGAGCTTAAAAAACGATGTTCTGACTGTATTGTGGATCAGAGGCTGTGTACGCATCTGGGGCCTATTATGGTATGTGCCTGTCATGGCACATCTGTAAAAAATGAACAATTCACTACAAAGAAACGCACTACCTCAGCTTTGAGTGTGTGAAATAAAAGCAATTTTCTAAATAAAAATAAAATAGCAGAAAATATAAGTTTGGGGCTCTGCAGGGGTTAGGGGTCGCTGGAGGGAACAGACACTTCACAAAGAGTCATTCAAAACACTGATGGCTTCTCCAGAGTTAAAAGTTCACATCCACAGGGCAGAAATGAATTGAAATTCCTGGCCGCAGGAGAAAGTGACACCAAATTAGAGTCCTCCTTTTGAAGCTATATGCTCAGTGTTCCACGGTAAGTAGATTAAAGCGTTCATGGGGCTGGTGGCTCCTTCCCAAACAAACATTCCCTCCAAAGAGATATCAGAGGGACAGGGATGGTGCCCTGAGCCAAATCTCTCTCTTTCTGACCAGTCCGTCCGACAGACACACAGAGGGGAAAATCACACTTGAACATCTTGAGTGCAGAGTGTGGAAATGTCACCAAATGGAAATGAGGACCAGAAGAAGTCAATCTAAATTTATTTCTATTAAGATACAGATTTAGGAGAATCAAAAAACTTAATGCACGGTCGCAGCAACGATTCACACCCTCTGCAGGCGCCTGTGTTTGTGCTCTCTGTTGCAGGGATGGGATTAGATAAAATATGAGCAGGGTATTTATAGCCGGTGACATTTAAGAGATAAAGGTGGTGTAGAGGGATGGGTGGAATGTAGGAGCCAGGAGTTGCAATATGGCAGATATGGCAGGAGGATTACCTCACCCACTGGCAGGAAGTAGCCTACAGCAGACTGGATATGACTTCTGCCCCCAGAGAAAACGCACACGCTCCACAGGCAGCTGCAGGATTAACTGAGCTGCTTCAAGTCAAGTTTCTCTCATGGAAAAGTCAAATAAGTGCTCTGACAAGACTGCAAAACAACTTGGTTAAAGTGTGTGAAGCCACAACATGAAGCACTTTTTTTTTCCTGCAGCTCTTTTAATGAAATGAACCACTGAACAAACAGCTTAAAAAAAAAAAAAAAACTCAACTGTCCCTGGAATTTATCACCTCCCATCCTTCACTGTACTGCAAGAACATTTCAAGGCTTTGCAGCTCCTTGCAAGCAAAATAACTCAAGGTAAATATTTAAAGCCTCCACACATTTCTCCACTGAAATGCAGCTCAATCAGAGAACAAACAGCCACCGCTCAGGAAAAAAAAACTAAAAGTCAACCTGTCTCTGGAATTTATCACTTCCCATCAAGGCTGGAAAACTCCTTCTGCATCACGCTAACTCCCTTCTCATGCAAACCTCCCAGAAACCTTCACCAGAGACACGTGCAGAGTGAGAGCCTTACCTGGTCAGAAGTGAGGACATGGTCGAGCCTTGTGGATTGGGTTCAGGTATGTTACATTCGCGGTCAGGTGCTGTTTGGTTCCCGTATCATGGCGTGAAACGTCGCGGCTCAAATGCACAGCGCATCCCAGCTGCAGGCTGCTCCGACACACAGACTTCAGACCCAACACCCTCCATGTCCAACTCTCTCCTGGGGGGGGGGTTTCTTCGTCCTCTTCTAATTCTTATTTTTCTTTTTTAAAAGACACTTTAAAGTAACTTCCTCTCTTCTCTTCTTTCTCTCTCTCAGCTGCAGAACTTCTCCATCCAAACAGCTGTGTTAGTTCCCTGAACACATCTCATCACTTTTGTCTCTCTGGACGAGCAAAGTGTAAAAAAAAAAGAAAAGAAAAAAAGAGACGCATCTTCTGTTGCACATTCAGGTGCAAAAACAAGTGAAGGGAAATTTGACACGAGGTTCTTTCTCTGTCTCTTCTTTACAGTAATAACCACCAGCTGTGGTTCACATCCCTCTTGTCCCACATGGACAAACAGTGTAAAACGTGTCCGAGTCTTACTGTCGCCTCCAGGCAGGTGAGTTTCTGGCTCAGTCCTGGAGCAGCAGGTAGCTCCGGTACCTGCGTCCTCTCTTCTCCTTCTGGCCCTCCTCTCAGTCCAGAGAGCTCCGATGTGCGACCAGAGTCCAGCAGCAAAGCCCGGTGAAGAGCGCAGAGAGTCCCCGGCGGCGCAGCACCGTCCTCGGCTGTGTGAGCGCGGTGAGGGAGTCTCTCTCTCTCTCTCTCTCTCTCTCTCTCTCTCTCTCTCTCTCTCTCTCTCTCTTCTCTCTCTCTCTCTCTCTCTCTCTCTCTCTTCCTCTCTCTCTCTCTCTCTCTCTCTCTCTCTCTCATCTCTCGTCTCTTCTCTCTCCTCTCCTCTCTCTCTCTCTCTCTCTTTCCAACCTGAGCGCTACATTCCTGTGGTGAACACGCCTCTCTCCTCCAATCACAGCCCAGCAGCTCCTCTGATAGCAAGACGTTTCCTTCACAAATCATCAAGGTTAAAAGGTTCTTCTGCTGTGCGGAGGATAAACTCAAAAACTGAAGTAAAAGCGGGAAATACCACCAGTGGAACAACATAATACTCTGTGTCGTTCAAACACATGCATTCATCATATCAAAGCAACCAGGTACTGCACAGTGTAGAAATGTTGCCATGGACACAGAGTGAGTCAAGCAACTTGTCAATGAATCTATTTGTCAGTGTTCCTGAATAAAAGAAATATGTTATAGTGAGTGTAAAGTCTTAATAAGGGAAGTAAAGTCAGGACTAGCTAGAGGTGAAAAAGTCTCCCAAAAAGAAAATAGGGTCTGCCGGTCACCAGATCTCAACCCAGCTGAACTTGTATGTTAGATTTTGCAGAGATGTATTGTGCAATCATGGAGGACTTGTCCCCTCTGGCTATATAAATGTGTATTTATCCTGCTGCCATTTATTAGCCAGCTTCAATGTACTGCGTTTGGCTTCAAGCCCCAGAAACAAACCAGTACTCTCATGCTACCTGAGCACAGGTTTGCTGTGTCTCTTAGTTTGTGGTAAATATAGTTGGGAGTATTTTTAATATAAATATTTGATCAAGTGAAAAAAGTAAATATACTGGGCCCCTCTAAAAGAAGAACAGTCTGGAGCTGCCCCTGTTTGTCATTTCAGTTTATGTTGTGCTTTAGTTGTTACAGAAAAATACATTTCAAATGAATCAATGATCCGCCCTCAGGTGTTTTCGCTGACATGCCTGGTTAGACTTTGGTTCACTACAGTGCAGGCTGTAAAACTGTGCTTCACTGAAACCTCCATCACTCTCTACCTGCACCTGTTCAGGTGGGATAACTTAGACTCTCATCATTATTGGTATGTGGAGATCAGTGACCTCATGCAGTTCCCAGTATGTTTGTCAAACTTTACCCAGAGCAGAAGTCTAACCAGCAGGGAAACTAAAAACACCTGTGATGGCGTGCAGGACCTTTAATATTACACAGTATTCATTCGACAGAGACTTATATTTGACCTTTTGACCTTTAATGTAGTTACTGTACAAGCGGCAGTACAATCACAGCTGCAGTGAACCCTCAGACAGCAAGTTTTCCCTCAGACTTAGCTCAGCTTAATTTAAGTCTTTAAGTTAAATACAATTAAATAATGAGAAAAAATGAAAACACAAGTGCTTACACAGCTTCAAAATAAAAGATCACACACAAATTATCTTCCACCTTCTCCATTTTCCATCCTTTCACTCCCTCCCTCATCTCAACTTGACTCACTCCTTCTTCCCATCAGCTCCGTGACTCCTCTGTTTCACCCTCTGACTGCTTCAGGGAGATAAACCTCATCTTCATCTGCATGTCAAGACACCGTTCGGTGATCATCACTTCATACCAGCGATCCTTTTCCACAGGGACGTGTAAAATGTGTAACTGTATCCCTGGGGCATTTCCTTTGTCTCTCACTGAACTTTATATTTGAAGTGCCACATCCCCATTTAGCAGGTTTTGTTTCACAGTTGGAGTTTGTGATGTATGAGGCAGTAACATGCAGGTCCTCTCCAGTTTCCTACTGAGCTTGTACAAATGGGATGACTTAATGGTGGTGGAGCAACCACACTGACCTCTCTGTGAACTCAGAGCACTGTCTCCACCTCAGTCTGTCACAGTCCCTTTAAGCTCAGCCAAGGCCGAGACAATTCATCTGAGCCGCGCTAATGCTTCAGCACGCGACCTTCAACTATCATCTGGAGCCGAGCAGACATAACAGAGAAAACAGGACGGAGCTGCGGGGATGTTAAAGCTGTCTTAACTGTCTCAGGGTCTTAGCTATCAGTTTCCACTACCACTTGTCGGCTTGTTCATGTTCTGCAGGGTCATGTAGCCGGTGTAAATATTATTCTGAAGCGGACTGCTCACCGGTACACAGGATGTGATGCCGCAGTCATTTGACGCCCATTGCAAATGCCAAAGGAATGATTTACAAACCTACAAATGTTGACATGCAGACAACATGAGCCTGCAGCGTCATAAACCTACAGGAGCATCAGACAGGCGGCAGCAGTCAGCAGCCGTGTGTCCAGGTCTGTCACTCGGTTTATCAAGTGGTCTTTTCTTCTCAATAACACATCGTTTTATTTGATTTAACCATCAGAGGAGGTGGAGGACTAGAATGTTCTTCTCAAGTAGAAATATCGTTGCTTCACATAAAGAAAAAAAACATGTTTTTAACAGGTAAATCTGGCAATGTTCCATATTTTTTTTTATTGACGATAAATCCTTAATTTTTTTTTACCCAGTCTGTCTATCGTACTCAGCCCGAGGCCGGCTGGTTCCTACCGAACACATACACTAAAATTTATAGTTTCATTTTTTTTTTTTTTTTAAAAGGTTCAGTCATGTCCTCAAACAGCTGCTCACTGTAATTTTTGGCAAACGTTACGCAAACGGTAGCACGTAGTGCATTTGTTGGGAACTATTTTCAGCAGCGGATTAATCCACATTTGGTGCTCCAGTGAGTATTTTGGCCAGCAGGACGTTGTGTGTGGGACTGAGTCAAAATAAACTACAGTGTGTGTGTGTGTGTGTGTGTGTGTGTGTGTGTGTTCACCCAGTGTTTTAGCTCTGTGGTTCAGAGGAATGAGATATATCAGGATGTGTGTCACTGCACAGTGGTTTATCTGCAATGCAAATATACAGATACCAGGGAAGTCAGTCAGTGCTGAGTCTATAAAGTCAATCTATACAAATTACATTTGATCATTTACACATAAAAAACAAAATAAATACTATTTACTACCACAAATACCGGTGTACTACACATATACTTTATACACCATTAAAAAAAAAGAAATATTAACTTTTCCAAAAAACCTTTTTATTCACTGTTGGTTTCGTTGTGTCCTATTTTAAGCGCTGGGTTTAAGGAAACAATGTTTGCACGTACTGGAAATGATGCAGAAGATAAAATCTGTGGTTTTCACACATGTAACACTGAACGTGATGCTATGTATTATTATTATTTTTTTAAAACACACATTTATTGTTACCACTAGTAACCAAAGGTGTTGACAAATCAGTGGGGGCTTGAATTGTGTAACTTCACTGTATTATTCAAGGGAAAAAGAGTAAGTAGTTACATAAAGTAGGAATATTAAGGTCATTTGTTTCATCCAGCAGATTCATATTGTGGCTCAGGGATCTTTAGACTTTACGTCTTGTTATATTCTTCTGCTCTTGGAGGAACAATTTCTCTGTTTTCTTCCCTTTTGTGTTGTAAAGGATTTCATCATCATCATGAAGGTGAAAGGAAATGTGCAGCTAGTCAAATCTGGAGATTTGAGCTGTAGATTTTTATGACACTGATGTCCATGCAGTGAAATGAAGGCAGTGCTGGGAGTTCATAAACGTTATAGAAATGTTTCCATCCGCAGCGACTGGCTTCCTCTCTACCTGTGTATATAATGATTAGATAAGTGCTCCCAGGTCTCTGTGCTTGTCCCAGCATGTAGACAGATTTTCCTGCACCCTCCCTATAGTTCCCCCATCATTACTGAACACACTTCACCGTTAAGTGCTCTGTGTGTGTGTTTACTGAGAGACAGATAGCCAAGTGTTTACAGTAATCATCACATTCATACATGTACTCTCTCTCTTTCCCTGTGTGTGTGTGTGTGTGTGTGTGTGTGTGTGTGTGTGTAGCCTGCTGCTCTGTAATAAGAGGCTTCTGAACCGAAGAGACAGTTTACTGCTCCTCAAAGACATTATGGAGGGGGGGGGGACTACACCCCCCTATCCATCCACCGCCCTCTCTCTCAGGTTTTTACTGAGCTTGGCAGCCTGCCAGCATGAATGGAGAACCTTGATGGGTGGACTGGGTTTCACACACCGGCTCTGATGAGAGACTGCCGGCGGCGGTGTTAAAAGTCATATACATTACATGTGGCCTCAACACAGCTGCAGCCGGGAAGTTACCTGTTGTGCATTAGCTTGTAAGACGTCATATGTGTTAACATAAACAGAGCTAAGCACGGCGACACCCACAGTGGTTACTAAACTGTTAATGTTGGAATCACGGAGGTGAGCTCATCTTAGTTGCACCTGTGTGTTCATGTGATTAACATGGAGCATTCATTTTTAAGGGGAAGACACAATCAGCAGCATCTGAGGGGGAA